GACAGATACATGGTGACACACTGACACACAGTGACAGATACATGGTGACACACTGACACACAGTGACAGATACATGGTGACACTTGACACACAGTGACAGATACATAGTGACACACTGACACACAGTGACAGATACATGGTGACACCTGACACACAGTGACAGATACATAGTGACACCTTGACACACAGTGACAGATACATGGTGGACACACTGACACACAGTGACAGATACATGGTGACACACTGACACACAGTGACAGATACATGGTGACCACACTGACACACAGTGACAGATACATGGTGACACACTGACGCACAGTGACAGTTATATAGTGACACACTGACACACAGTGACAGATACATGGTGACACACTGACACACAGTGACAGATACATGGTGACACACTGACACACAGTGACAGATCCATGGTGACACACTGACACACAGTGACAGATACATGGTGACACACTGACACACAGTGACAGATACATGGTGACACACTGACACACAGTGACAGATACATGGTGACACACTGACACACAGTGACAGATACATGGTGACACCTTGACACACAGTGACAGATACATAGTGACACACTGACACACAGTGACAGATACATGGTGACACCTTGACACACAGTGACAGATACATAGTGACACCTTGACACACAGTGACAGATACATGGTGACACACTGACACACAGTGACAGATACATGGTGACACACTGACACACAGTGACAGATACATGGTGACACACTGACACACAGTGACAGATACATGGTGACACACTGACGCACAGTGACAGTTATATAGTGACACACTGACACACAGTGACAGATACATGGTGACACACTGACACACAGTGACAGATACATGGTGACACACTGACACACAGTGACAGATCCATGGTGACACACTGACACACAGTGACAGATACATGGTGACACACTGACACACAGTGACAGATACATGGTGACACACTGACACACAGTGACAGATACATGGTGACACACTGACACACAGTGACAGATACATGGTGACACACTGACACACAGTGACAGATACATAGTGACACACTGACACACAGTGACAGATACATGGTGACACACTGACACACAGTGACAGATACATGGTGACACACTGACACACAGTGACAGATACATGGTGACACACTGACACACAGTGACAGATACATGGTGACACACTGACACACAGTGACAGTTACATAGTGACACACTGGACACACAGTGACAGATACATGGTGACACACTGACACACAGTGACAGATACATGGTGACACACTGACACACAGTGACAGATACATGGTGACACACTGACACACAGTGACAGATACATGGTGACACACTGACACACAGTGACAGATACATGGTGACACACTGACACACAGTGACAGATACATGGTGACACACTGACACACAGTGACAGATACATGGTGACACACTGACACACAGTGACAGATACATGGTGACACACTGACACACAGTGACAGTTACATAGTGACACACTGACACACAGTGACAGATACATGGTGACACACTGACACACAGTGACAGATACATGGTGACACACTGACACACAGTGACAGATACATGGTGACACCTTGACACACAGTGACAGATACATAGTGACACACTGACACACAGTGACAGATACATGGTGACACCTTGACACACAGTGACAGATACATAGTGACACCTTGACACACAGTGACAGATACATGGTGACACACTGACACACAGTGACAGATACATGGTGACACACTGACACACAGTGACAGATACATGGTGACACACTGACACACAGTGACAGATACATGGTGACACACTGACGCACAGTGACAGTTATATAGTGACACACTGACACACAGTGACAGATACATGGTGACACACTGACACACAGTGACAGATACATGGTGACACACTGACACACAGTGACAGATCCATGGTGACACACTGACACACAGTGACAGATACATGGTGACACACTGACACACAGTGACAGATACATGGTGACACACTGACACACAGTGACAGATACATGGTGACACACTGACACACAGTGACAGATACATGGTGACACACTGACACACAGTGACAGATACATAGTGACACACTGACACACAGTGACAGATACATGGTGACACACTGACACACAGTGACAGATACATGGTGACACACTGACACACAGTGACAGATACATAGTGACACACTGACACACAGTGACAGATACATGGTGACACACTGACACACAGTGACAGATACATGGTGACACACTGACACACAGTGACAGATACATGGTGGAACACTGACACACAGTGACAGATACATGGTGGCACACTGACACACAGTGATAGTTACATGGTGACACACTGACACACATTGACAGGTACATGGTGGCACACTGACACACAGTGACAGATACATGGTGACACACTGACACACAGTGACAGTTACATAGTGACACACTGACACAGTGACAGATACATGGTGACACACTGACACACAGTGACAGATACATGGTGATACACTGACACACAGTGACAGATACATGGTGACACACTGACACACAGTGACAGATCCATGGTGACACACTGACACACAGTGACAGATACATGGTGACACACTGACACACAGTGACAGATACATGGTGACACACTGACACACAGTGACAGATACATGGTGACACACTGACACACAGTGACAGATACATGGTGACACACTGACACACAGTGACAGATACATAGTGACACACTGACACACAGTGACAGATACATGGTGACACACTGACACACAGTGACAGATACATGGTGACACACTGACACACAGTGACAGATACATAGTGACACACTGACACACAGTGACAGATACATGGTGACACACTGACACACAGTGACAGATACATGGTGACACACTGACACACAGTGACAGATACATGGTGGAACACTGACACACAGTGACAGATACATGGTGGCACACTGACACACAGTGATAGTTACATGGTGACACACTGACACACATTGACAGGTACATGGTGGCACACTGACACACAGTGACAGATACATGGTGACACACTGACACACAGTGACAGTTACATAGTGACACACTGACACAGTGACAGATACATGGTGACACACTGACACACAGTGACAGATACATGGTGATACACTGACACACAGTGACAGATACATGGTGACACACTGACACAGTGACAGATACATAGTGACACACTGACACACAGTGACAGATACATGGTGACACACTGACACACAGTAACAGATACATGGTGACACACTGACACACAGTGACAGATACATGGTGACACACTGACACACAGTGACAGATACATGGTGACACACTGACACACAGTGACAGATACATGGTGACACACTGACACACAGTGACAGATACATGGTGGAACACTGACACACAGTGACAGATACATGGTGACACACTGACACACAGTGATAGTTACATGGTGACACACTGACACACATTGACAGGTACATGGTGACACACTGACACACAGTGACAGATACATGGTGACACACTGACACACAGTGACAGTTACATAGTGACACACTGACACAGTGACAGATACATGGTGACACACTGACACACAGTGACAGATACATAGTGACACCTTGAGATGCAGTGACAACGGCAGATGCGGCGGTGTCACAGCCACCATGCAGAGCGACATCGTGACAATGTCAGTTGTACACAGAGCGACACATTTGACACTGTGACTCTGACACGCAGTGACGGATACATAATTATACACGGTACCGTGGTGACAGCATCACTGACACGCATTTCACGCAGTGACACACCACCACCACATCATCAGTGAATGACATACTCGTGGGTATGGTGACAGATGTCTTTGCGCTTTCATTTGCGGCCAGGTCGCTGAATTTGCGCGGCTGGATTATAAGATGCCCATATTATTAATCCAATTTGTCGCGATGTACAAAGGCTGGTGTCACAGCGTTTTCCGAACGTAAGCCGTGTCTGTATGATGAGGCTCCTGTATATTATTTACAGAGTTAATGCAGGGTTTTTTTGGGGGGGTTATATCGCGTAAATACAAATGTGTCGTTAAACCCGCCACCACCCGACACAGGCAATTAGTATGGTTTGTAATTTACAGTGTTGTGGATTTGCTCTCCAACACACAACCGGTGTGCTGTACCAGTAACGAATCGGCACGTTCTGTTTACGTGACAAACCTTACTAATTGGCTGTGTCGGGTGGTGACGGGTTTAATGACACATTTATATATATACCCGATCTAACCCCCCACAAAAACCTGTATTATGGATGATATTGGTCGCGGAAGCCTACGTGTTAAACTATTTACAGAGAATTAGTTCAACAGATAATTTCACCTCTCCCACATAAATTAATGTCATTCATGCCAATGACATGAAATGAGTTAAATGATGACCTCACCCTGCTGCTCTAATTAAGACCGGGAGCAAGTGAGGGCTTTACCATTCGGGCGAATTGCCCGATGATGCTGGATGTAATTACCAGCGAAACGTCGTACTCAAATTTTAAATGATGTTGATTCACTCTTCAACACAGCGGTGGGCTAAAGTAGTGAACTATTTGTCCTTTGTAAACGTGACACTTTTTTTACTGTTTGGCCGTGTCGGGTGGTGGAGGGTTACGACACATTTATAAATAACGCGATCTAACCCAAAAACCTTTATTATGAATAATATTGGTCGCGAAAGCCTACGTGTTAAACATGCCAACAGCATTCCTGAATATGCATGGATGCTGAACTTCCTTCGGCACCGTGCGTAGCCAACTGCGCCCATCGGAGGTGACGACACTGAACCCCTTAAGCACACGTTCGTTGGCTCGGACACACGATTTCATGACGTTCGTCAAACGCGCCCGACGTAATAATACCCCGTTGCGCATCGAGACGCTTTACAACGCCGACCGACCTTTTCCCCTCGGCCCCCTTAGGGCCTTTGCCGATGTCGACGCTGGACGAGGCCGAGCTGCAGCTGTCCGAGCTGGAGATGCTGGGGAGCATGTTCCCGCATGCCGGCGAGATGACGATCCCCGACCCGGGGCCTCCGGCGGAGCTGGCGCGCTGGGTCCAGCATCCCGACGAGCCGCCGCCGCGGGGATACGTCGGCTTCACCGTGCGACACCCGACCATCGTGAGTCTCAGCGCCGAACCTCAGGATCCCTGGCCTGCCCGCTGGCGGTGTGGACGTCGCAGACGTGCGCCCGTCCTTCGCGGAGCTCGCTCTCCGCGATGTTTTGGCCGCCGGCGAATCGCGCCTGGGACTCTCTACACGACCTTGCCGAGCGAGAGAGAGAGAGAGCGAGAGAGAAAGTGATGGGATACGGCGATGAGAGAGAATGCGATGCGGGAAAGTGGTGAGGTGAAGTGATGAGAGGTAAAATGATGAGATAAAGTGATAGGTTGCATGTATTAAATAGCTTGTTTATGTGTTTATTCAAGGTTATACATTAAAATTAAGTTTTAGCGGGCGAAATTTTCTTTACGGATAGCCAATATTAGTTGGATCCCTCACAAATGACAAAATACTGTAGTAGCGGCGATGATATTGGTACATCAGCAAAGCCGTTCCCCCCGGGAGGCTGGGTTGGTCGATCCAATCGTGGCGGTGCTGACCCACTCGGGACCCAGGAGTGGAAGATGGCAGCAGCCTTCACGGGCGGCCCGCTCCGTCAAGCGAGCGATCACGACTCACGCCATCAGCAACCCGGCGACCCGAACATCAAACGGCGATCTCCCGGCCTCCATAGCAACAGCTCAATCCACCATAACGGGAACCATATCCAGAAAATGTTTTGCCCTTACCCCCCCCCCGACTCCCCGCACTAACCCCACCCCTTTCGGTTATAAACTCCGAGTCGCAGGATGTACGGCATGCGGTTTAAAAGATTCTGGACCGTCTGAGTTCAAATCCTGGCCTGAGTTGGCTAGTCGTCATCGTCGTCATGTTCAACATCGTCGCCACCGTGTCAGCTTTTTGCCCCTTTTGGTTCTGCAATTGCGCCGACGGCTAACGAGCCCCTGCCTGACCGTCTCCGTGTGCACGTGCATTGTGACAGGCAGGCCTGGACGCTGTGTGCCATTTCCCTCATCATTACCCCACTCAACCCCCCGAAATATACGCCAGGTGGGCGATGATGCTTGCGAGCGTGCGTGGTGTGTGCGTGTGTGTGTGCCAATGCATGTGCGCGTACGGTCGTACCGGGTATAGCAGGTGCCATAGGGATGTCACCACCATTCAGCATTAAATTGTGGGCTGTGTTCTGTTGCGTAAGATATGATGAATATGGAAGTAGGCGTTATTAGCGGGGTGTGTGAATTTTGCATATAGGTGTGTGCCTGTATAGGCAGATTTGTGAGGAGCGGTAATGCAACGGTTAGCGCGCTGCGCTATGAACCCAGCAACCCAGGTTCGATTCCCCGCTCAGGGGCAACGCCAGTGACGATTATCTGAACTGGTGCTGGGCCTCCTCTGGGTCGACGCAGCCTTACATGAGTACCCGGTGCGGAGTGTGAAACATCGCCACAGGGGAGATAAAGACGGCCGGGCGTGGTGTTGGCCACCCACCCCCTCGTGTGGCTCGCCGGCCTTCATAGGTGTTTGCTAACAGCACTTGCCCCAGCAGTCTGTTTAAGGCTACACGGGGGATCTTTGTCTTTGGGGAGCGGTAGTGTATTGGCAAGCGTCCTGTGCTGCGACCCGATTTCGATTCTCGCTCATGGCCAACATCAGTGACGATTTTTTTTAACCGGTCCTGGGCCTCTCCTAGGTAGACTCAGCCTCAAATGATTACATTGTGTGATGCACGACTATCGCCACTGGGGAGACAAAGGCGGCCAGGCATGGTACTAGCCCCCCTTCCCTCATGTTCCATGCCGGCATTCATAGGTGCCCCCTAACAGCATTTACAGTTTGGTCAGGCTATACGGGGGATCTTTCTCTTTGTTTGGTGGTGTTGAGTCAACGTACTGCGCTATAATCCTGGGATTCGCTGATGCATCTCTGGCCATGCATGCAGCTCCACCAGCGCGCTTCGGTATCTGATCTCAGCGTGGATTTTCCCGAGGTGACTGCCAACACCACCAGTACTGACGAGACTAAGGCGCTCCCGCACGCACGTCCCGCTGGCCTTACTAGGTGCTCACTAACAGCCATGTTGCATGTACTGTATGCATGCTGAACTTCTTTTGCGCTGTACGTGTTAATCGGTTGGCTGCGTACATTTACAGGTGGCCTCCGGTTTACGACGGTCCCAGATTTACGACGGCCTACGTTTTACGACGGCCCCCGTTTTACGACGGACCACGTTTTACGACATTTATATAATGCCACCACCGTGGAACGATTTATGACGCAGAAATCGACGTGACCCCGAGCAGTCTGGTTTCCGATGTGACTCCGTGTGGAGCTTTTGTCAGTCTCGAGTGCTTTTGTGGATTTTTTTTTACCTCTTCAACCCTGTTACATTTGGCAGACAAAAAGGGAAATATACAAGCGATGTTTTCTACGGTTTGGACTGCCTGTGGTAAAATGGGGTCCCATTTACGACGATCCGATTGACGACGGATTTGCCAGGAACGCATCGTGATGTGATAAAGGCGGGGAGTGCCTGTTTATATTTATGTCATGGCCAGTACCATTGCTGTTTGTGCCACGCACTATGGCAAGAGGGGATTTAAAGATTGATCATAAAACATTTCTCCCTCGTACGTAAGAGGACATCGGTGTTACCCACTTCTTGACCAACCACACTCCCTGATGTGACCTCCACTCGGAACATTGGGCCCTACTTCGATCACATGCTCTACCTCAAGTGGTGTAAGGGAGAGGGAGGGGGGGGGGGTGCGAACGTCAGCGCGAAAGACTAGAAAGTAGCTACAGTCGTCAACAACTCAAAATTAGGGGGCTTGGCTTCACCCCCTGAACGACGTTCCAGGGAAAATGCCGGCGTCCCCTCCTTCTCACTCCCCAGAGCCGACTCGATGGGACGCGCCGAGCAGGGGAGGCTCAACGGCGAGCTGCGAGCGTTCCTGCGGGAGCACGGCGCGGGCTCGCTACGCGTGCTCGCGGTGCTGGACTGGCTCGCCGATAACGCCCCCCAGCTCCACGCCGCGTCCGCGGCCCCGGCTCCGGTGCCCGGTAGGAAGCCCTTGCGGGTTGAGGCACGGCAGCGCCCCTCCACCGCCCCCGTCCGTGCCGTGCCGCGCCCACACACTCAGCGCCGGCTCCGGTGCCCCGTAGGTAGGAAGCCCTTGATAAGAGAGGTTTATTTTGGGTTAGATTGCGTAAATATATAAACGTTGTGTCGTTAAAACCCGCCACCACCCGACACAGCCAACTGGTAAGGGTTGTCACGTAAACAGAACGTGGCCAATTCGTCACTAGTACAGCAGTAGTGTAGTGTATAGTATTATAGTGTAGTGTATAGTATTATAGTGTAGTGTATAGTGTAGTGTATAGTATAGTGTATAGTAGTATAGTGTATAGTAGTGTAGTGTATAGTAGTGTATAGTGTAGTGTATAGTAGTATAGTGTATAGTAGTGTAGTGTATAGTATAGTGTGTAGTAGTGTAGTGTATAGAAGTATAGTGTATAGTAGTGTAGTGTATAGTAGTATAGTGTATAGTAGTGTAGTGTATAGTGTAGTGTATAGTAGTGTAGTGTATAGTGTAGTATACTAGTACAGCACACCGGTGTGTTGGAGAGCCAAGCCACAACATTTACAATCTGAGTACGACGTTTCGCCAGTAATAACAACTAGCTTCATCAGGCGACAGCCAGATTTGTGGAGAAGTCTAACTTTTTCGTTCCTTATATAGAGGCGTAGATGCTCTTGCACAATGTGGGGGGTGACGGGTTTTAACGACACATATATTTACGCGATCTAACCCAAAAAATAGCTCAGGTTAGCATTACAGCCAGGAAGGCTGAACGTTCGCGTCGTTTGACTCGTCGTGAGCAACTGTCCGAGGCACATGGAGTTCAAACTTTTGTTACGGTATCCGAGGCCGCCGAGATGCGGTGAACACCTCTGCAGCTGTTCCCCAACAAAGGCACGGGACTTTGCCGCGGGACGTTTAATTTCCTCATCATGGTATTTTACCCCTCGCTAAATGCTTAGCAAATGGGGGAATACAATCGGTGTTAAAAACCTAAACGTGAAAGCATTTTTCTTCAAACTGCGGCTTTCAATTTCACAGCACTTACGGCGCAATTGCAGCTGCCCCGCAATGCTGCCATAAGTACCTTCGTCCCTCATTGGCGACCATCGGTCGACGCTGACAGAGCACTTGCCCGTCTCCCAACAGGCGGGGAGAGTCCCCGGCCCCGCGCTGCCTTCTCACGCCTGTGGATCTACAGCCACCACATCTACAACAAGGACAAGCGACGGGACCTGGTGTCCTGGGCGCGGGACCTGGACCTCACGGGTTTCCTCATGCCAGGAAAGCCGGGGCTCGTGTGCGCGGAGGGCCCCGCGGCAGCCTGCGACGAGTACTGGGCTCGGTAACGCAACCCCCATGCCAGCGGCTCGGGCCCACCAGGGCCAGCGAAGCGACGTTTCCCGCATGGGAGATGCGCGGGGAAAGTTACGGAAAGCTCCCACGCGTACATGCCTGGTTTGAAACGACCGCGGCTTGTGCAGCCGCCTGCTTAAATCCCCGAGCCAGTGATGGAAATTCCACGCTCCTACGCCGGGGTCGAGTGAATCCACAGACTAACCACTGTTGACGTTCCATAAAGTGGTGCTTGTTCTCCCGATCCTGGTTTTGCTTCTGTGCATTCATTGGTGACCCGAGACACACTGAGCGGCGGTTTAAAATTTGGTTTCAACTCGGGCGAGAGGAAGCTTGCACTATATCGGCCCTGACGCGTCGGCCCGTTCCTCCCGGTGGCAGGGTCCGTCGCCTGCAGTGGCAGAAGATCGGCATACGGCACCGCGAGGACTTCCCCCCGATTGCCGCCGAGGTCCCGGGCGGCACCGCGGGAGAGTCGTCGCCGCTCCCTCGCTTCGAGCCGCCGTTCCGAGAGGAGGCGTTCGACGTGCACGGCACGCACATGGACCTGGGACAGCTGCGCCGCTTCCTGGAGGCACACGGCTGCGGGGAAGCCTTCACGATAGTGTTCGGCGTTGAGAAGAAATAGTGCCCCGTTTTGTTTTTGTACAATGTTGCCACGTTAGCTATTAAACTATTAAAAACTTTTTATTTTATTTTACCGCCTAAGGCCCACCGCTGAGCTGTTTGGTATAGCTCTTTTATAGAAGCGACCGGCGCATCACAAATGATAGCTCAATGAAGTGGGTTTAACATCATGTGGAAATTCTATAGCAGCCAAATTACTCTAAGTACGTGCGTCTCCTGCGCCTTCCTCGACTTCTTCTCGCTGAAAATAATTGTCGGATCGTTCGTCCCATCCAATCGAGTCGTTCACGTTTCGTTGGAACAATGTTTTTGCCAGGCGAGAACTCGACACATTTGCTGGACTGACCTGGGTCACCCAGATGACAAAAGGAAAACAATTAAGTACAGCAATGACGCTTTAATATTATCCCTGATGTATGAGGGATAATAGAAAACTCATCTATCTGGGCATGTTTGAGATGAGATAGATTTATTGTTTTTTCACTGCTTTCCAAAATAACTGCCCATAATCTAAAAAGTGTATTTCCTGTTTTTAATTCGATGACCGTCATCGCTGTACAGTCGGATTCCTCCTGGTCCCAAAACCGGTCATTAAAGAAACACTAACATCCTTATTATTGTTTTATTTCCCTTCTACGTGACTTTACCAAAAGAACCAAGAATATGAATACTAATATCCTGGTGAATCGCCTGATACGTCTGTTAATATTTTGAATTATTTTATCACTGAACACTGGGGTGGATGCTTCAATTCTTGTTGAAGTCGTGTTAACCAGCACCTGGCAATCTGCAAGCATCGGAGTGGAGTGGACACTCTCTCCACCAACACGCTGAGACAGGCCAAGGTTCCAGTTCATTTACTCCACCTCCGCGACACATTCACAGCTCCCTAATTCATCCACAGCTCTCACCTTCACCCGCGGCTCTCAACCGTAACACACGTAGCTTCTTCATCCACAGCTTTCTCCTTTACCCACGGCTCTCTTCGTAACATACACACAGCTCCCTCCTTCATCCACAGCTCCCTCCTTCACCCACGGCTCTCTCTGTAACATACACACAGCTCCCTCCTTCATCCACAGCTCCCTCCTTCACCCACGGCTCTCTCTGTAACATACACACTGCTCCCTCCTTCATCCACAGTAATCTCCTTCATCCACAGCTCTCTCCGTAACATACAGCTCCTTCATCCACAGCTCTCTCCTTCACCCACGGCTCTCTCCTCCTCTCGTCCCTTTTATCCCCGCAGTCCCCTCTCACTGTTTCCTCCCCTCTAATTCCCTGTTGCCACGTTCCCAGCCGCCATTCACATTGTCACACCTAGGACGATGTGTCCCTCATCTCCAGCCTCGGAGCTACTCCCAGTCAAGTCGGGGCAGGGATTGACGTCAGCTGATGTCGTTGGGAGCGTCATGGAGGACCGTAACAGGAGCACGGTAGTGACGGTGAAGCAGAACCAACGCCATGTATGCATGTATATATATTAAACTTAATTCACACCATACGTAGTCAACCGTGCTAATCGGAGGTGCGGGGTAAGGACGACAAATTGGACACAAAAAGCAGCACTAAAGAAATGGGAGTTTTCAATCTAGATTTAAAAGTGCATAGCTCCGGTGACTTTCGGAAGGGCACTCCGGACGGCTGCAGAAGCGCTCCTGAACGCGCGATGCGGTGACCGTCTTCGTTCGATGGCTCGCCAAAAGCCGGTGCTGCTGTGAGGATGACCGGAGTTTGCGTGATGGTTCATGCTCGTTGACGAGATCAGCGAGGTATTGTGGTTCATTTGTGGCAGGCACTTGGTGTGTAATGAGGGCAAGCTGACGTGCTAAACGCAACACATTTACCAATACCTGCAACTGGACTACGTTTCGAGATATGTAACCGTATTGTACGGATTATAAATCACTCGGGAAAGTGAAACGCACCCAAAAGTGTGGGGTTATTTTGCAAGAAGTGGGAGGATTTATGTACATGTTTCCTTAATCATTTTCGACGTACGGTCCACTCCTAGCAACAAACACACGGTCCGGTCTCACGGGTGGTGGACCATTGTGGGTGTCATTCATTGACAGAGCTCATTGTTGAAATGTTATTGGACTGGATGAAATGAACAACATGCCGGGAAGGGGCTGTTAAAGAGAATGGGTGGAGGGGGTAGTGGCTTAGGGGCTGTCCATAAATGACGTCACGCGATTTTGGACGATTTTTGACCCCCCCCCCCCCTTAGTCACACGGCGTCACAAAAAGTCAGACCCCCCCCTCAAATATGACGTCACAAAGCTCTGCCCCCTCCCCCCCCCAAAAAAATAAAACTTGCTTCAAATTGCTTTAAACTATTGTCATTGTAGTGCGTATTTAATGTGGCGCTGCACTCTGATGTTGTAGGAGAAAACATTTATTAAAAAGTCTAATTAATTAAGTAGAACGTGTTGTCTATATTTATTTAAAGTTGCGCATTTTGACGTGACGTCACATTTCTCAAACCCCCCTCCTCGTCACACATCGTCACAAATGTCTGACCCCTCCCCAGGTGCGTGACGTCATTTATGGACGGCCCCTAAACACGTGGTAGGCCTAGGAGCTGCTGCGCCGCGTGTTTGCACCTCCTGGTGATGACTCTGGGTCCATCGGTCTCGGTGACGTCAGGGGGGCTATGAATGAGCTGTTCAGGAAGGGGTCTCGGGTTATTTTAAAGGCTGGCTCCCCTCCTTTAAGCCTGTAATCCCGTGTGGTGCAGAGGCTGTTGCTGATTTTTAATAAAGCTCTTCCATGCATGGGTGGAGTTTGCGGGGGGGGGGGGGGGCACGGGGGGGGCCATACCTCCCCCCTCCCAAAGTGGTTACATGTATTAATTTATTAGCAGTCGTTTACGATAACAAATATTAATTCTTTATATTCAGGCTCTAAAAGACGCAGGTTTATGGCGTTACCTTCCGCGTGCTCGGTATAGTTTACGTGCCGTGCGGGGGGGGGGGGGGTCGTGTTTTCTAATCTGTGAGAATACGGTGCCGTGAATATTCTCCTTCCAGACGACGATGATGATGATGAACGTACTGCTTTACAATGGGCAGAGATGTCTTCTGTGATCATCTCTCCTCTGGGTGATTCTGAAACAACCAGATTAAAACACGTCCTCTGTGAGTCAACGTTTGTCTGTGGATTATAATAATTACCTGCAGTTTACCTTATTGGGATCACACAAGGCAACATCACCCCCGTGTGCTGCGAAAAAATCATCTGGGTGACCCACCAACCCTTAACCTCCAAACGCTGCATCACAAGCGTGTTGCCACTGCACACAGATAATTTAGAGTTACCGGTTTCACAATTCCACGAATTTATTGAGGTTCTGTGCAGGAATTAACTTGAGGTTTCACGTAAACTTTTTTTTTGGTATTTTACCAGGTAAGGCTCGCTGAGCTATGTAGCTCTTTCTTTAAAGAAGAGACCTGGCCCACCAAGGACAGCTCAACGAAGTGGCTTGTCGCGTGGACATTTATAGCAGCCAAATACTCGAAACGCAACGATTCTAAAGGGAAACCCCGAAGGGGCCGGAGAGAACTAGTTTAGTGGTCGTGGTGAGCACTGACCCGCAACGCTTTCAGCTTCAATAGTTGTCATTTTCCACTGAGAATGACTAAAAGTTGCCACTTGGTGGATGGTGGTGCATTTTAAAATTCGAGCGCTATGATTCAACCACCGAGCAGTGAGCGGAGAGCGGAGAGCTGATGAGAAGTTTTCTCAGCGCTCGGCGCAACGCAGCAGAACGAAACATCACGCTTGGGCTGTACGATGCAGCCGGGCGGCGGTGGTGGCTATACACGTGGCAGTCTGTAGCAGGGAGGTGGTGGTGGCTATGCACGTGGCAATCTGTAGCAGGGCGGTGGTGGTGGTGGCTATACACGTGGCAGTCTGTAGCAGGGAGGTGGTGGTGGCTATGCACGTGGCAGTCTGTAGCAGGGCGGTGGTGGTGGCTATACACGTGGCAGTGTAGCAGGGCGGTGGTGGTGGCTGTGCACGTGGCAGTGTAGCAGGGAGGTGGTGGTGGCTATGCACGTGGCAGTCTGTAGCAGGGCGGCGGTGGTGGCTATGCACGTGGCAGTCTGTAGCAGGGCGGTGGTGGTGGTGGCTATGCACGTGGCAGTCTGTAGCAGGGCGGTTTTGGTGTCTATGCACGTGGCAGTCTGTAATACAGCGCTTCTAGAGGCAAATAGGGTTGGTGGATCACACAAATGTTGCACAACTCCCTTCCCGTGAGCGTCGAGGAAATGCCATATACCCTGGCTCGCGCGTGTGTGTTGAACTTCTTTCTTACCGTACGTAGCCAACCGTGCAAATCGGAGACTTGCCAGGAGATTGTGGTGCAGCAAATGTGAATTCCACCGTGGGACAGCTCCCTTTTAACAAAACAAAAATCAGCAACAGCCCATCTGCATCACTTGGGATTTCAGGCTGTAAGGAGGGGAGCCAAACTTGGATAGAACACGGGACCCATAGAACGTGTTCTCTGATTTCCTACAACTTGTAGACATTTAACTGGCCGATAAAACCGCAACTCCGATTAAAGCACGGTTGGCTGCGTACGGGTGCGAAAGAAGTTCAACATACTTACTTAATACGTACCTGTCAATCTCTCATCAGTGCCCTACCTGAATACAGACCAACTCAGACCTTATTGGTCACCCCGTACCCATTATAAATCTCAACGTTCATCCTACAAAGTCCCATCGCCAGGGAGAAACACAAACAAATAAACACATTTTTTTTTTCTTTGCCCGTATTGAAACGTCTGTGCACCGTATCGACCTGAAAACTCGATTTCCCTATTCAAGAATACGGGGTTCAATCGTTTGGGTTGACAGGTGTGTTAATATGTAGAGGACAGCAGAGCTTGGACGAATGCTGGCGCTGCCTCCCCGCTTGTCTGTGGTTTCTCGTGCCCCAGAGTCGCCCCCTCTCTCTGTGCGGCGGAGGAGGCCGGTGGCGGGGCGTACCGAGTTGAAATGGTTATTAAATATTTGGCATGTTGGCGCTGCAGCGACAAATGCTGCTGCCGCTGGACGCGGCAAGTTAATCGATGACATCGAGCAAAGCGACCGAAGCAAAACGCGGGATTCTCGGGGACTTCCGTGAAACGCACCGGACTTCTCCGCGGCATCGCGGAGATTGTGGGGAGGGATAATCGCGTGAAGGAATAAAAAAATAAACGCCGGTGGGTATTCGCCGTCAAGTGAAAGCGAAGCCACGCGCCGCCCGCTTCAGCGTGGACGTTAAAGGTCCCGCCGCGTCGTTCTCAACACGTGGTGGTGGTGGGGGGTGGGGGGGGAGGCATTTTTGTGGCTGGAATCATGGTTCAAATTTGCCAAATTTTTGGTAGCGCTGCTTGCAAATAATTCAACTGGGATAAACATAGCAATCACCGGCCACTCTCTCTCCATCCCTGACTGCAAACACTTGGCAGGACCCTCCTGAGAGAGAAAGAGAGCCGTGAGATTCGGTGAGGCTTTCCTGGGTAAATAAGCGGAATAATAATCATGAAGCATTCATATTTTTAGGCGGAATCAAATTGATTTTCAACAAAGGAAATGCATTGAATGCAGGCAGGTACATTTTG